CTGGAACTCTGGCCCTTTGTGAACTGCCCCACTGCCTTTCCCTCCGTCCTCTGCAAATTCCCGCACTATACCCACACCAGACCAAACGTGATGCTTTGTGCTTTCCTGCCACTGGGCCTTTGCACATGAACTTTTTACTGCCTGGCCTGCCCTTCCCTGGCATCTCTTGACCTCTCCGCTTTCCCCCATTAGTAAGTCCCACCTTCATGAAATCTTTGTGCACCCCTCAGTGGGATGAGCTCATCTTCCCAGGAACACCCCTACCCCACAGCTCAGCTGGGCCCCAACACCAGCTTGTTGTCACCCTGGGGCAGGGAGCATGTTTGAGAACCCTCTGCTACCCTAGGAAGCTAGCAGTTTGCCATGTCTTTGCACAGGCCACCCCTCTGCTGGGGATGCTCTCCCTCTACCCTCTGGCTCTCCTGGCAAACTTCTCAGTCTGTAAGGCCCACGTGGACAGACCCCTCCTGTCTCTCAGGGACAGCCCTTCTCTCAGTGAATATTTATTGAGCACCTGGCGCAAACTAGGCATCTGAGCACTTACTATGTGGTCAGCACTTGGCTCTGGGGCCGCATTGGTGGCCCTGCGCTTGTGGGTCATGACTGGAGGGAGTAACTGGAGGCGTGATATGATAGAGAGGTGGCAGAGAAAGCAGGGGGCTGTGGGGGTAGATGACAGAGCAGTCCACTTCGTGCTGGGGAGAGAGTTAGAACCTGCCCTTTAGCGGAGACCTGAAGGAAGAGCCGGGTGAGCTATGGGGCCAAGTCGGGGTGTGGGGTTATAACTAAGAACCAGACCCAAGCCCTGATCTCGGAGAGCTCACAGCTATGTGGGGGACTGGGTGGACAAGGAAGCAGGCAATTCTAGCAGAGTGGGGTCAGTGCTGTGGTGGAGGAGGTCCAGGAAGCTGGGGGAGTTCAGGGGAGAGGCCACAAATACAGCTGTGGAAGAGCTGGTGAGCAAGGAGGCTTCCCCAGGGCTGTGACACCCGAGCTGACTGGTGGTTGATGGGAACCTGGCAGGGCTCCAGCGGGGTGATGGCCCTAGGTGGAAGGGCACAGCCTGTGCAAAGGCACGGTGGCATGAAAGCACAACTTGTTTTAGGGGACCTGCATGGGGTGTAGGGAGGCTGGAGGGAGGGAGGCTGTGGGGATGTACTTGCTGGGATGCATGTGGCCCACAGAGCCTCATTGGCAAAGGCCTCTGGATGCTGTGCTGGGGATTTGGAACTGTACCCCAAAAGTGATGGGAACCCAAGAGAGATTTCAAGCAGGCGTGAGTGACCTGGGCAGGCTTTGGCCTGGTCCTCCCCTCTGAAGCCCCCACATAGGATGGGGAGCCCCTTCTTGACTCTGCTCCTGGCTAGGGCCTGGGGTGGAGCTGGAGGGCTCATTGTGGGACTGAGCAAGCCCCCTGCCTCTCTGAGCCCTTCTCTCCTCCCAGTGAACCTGCAGGGCCTGAGGCCAGAATCCTACTGGAGCTGTGGGCAGGGGTTGGGCTGTCTTGCTTGGCCTAAGCTTGCTGAACCTTTAGTTTTAGGAAAAATATGCCTTAAGAAAGTCACGTAACTACCCTGCAGAAAAGTCAGAGAATAGGGAAAAGAGATAAACTCAAACCTACCATTTCTGCCCTCACCCCAAGCCTGAGGCACCATCACTGTTAGCCTTCTGGTTTTTCCTTCCCTCCTCTCAGTAACTGGTTTTTATATAGATCTCATTGCCCCGTCTACACATACAATTTAAGAAATCTTCCCCAGCCCATCCGCCTGACAACTGTTGTATCATGAGTATTTTCTACATGACTTCAGGGTGGTTCCAATCCTCCCTTCTTTTTTTTTTTAAGATTTTATTTATTTATTTGACAGAGAGAAACACAGCGAGAGAGGGAACACAAGCAAGGGGAATGGGAGAGGGAGAAGCAGGCTCCCCGCTGAGCAGAGAGCCCGATGTGGGGCTCGATCCCAGGACCCTGGGATCATGACCTGAGCTGAAGGCAGATGCTTAACGACTGAGCCACCCAGGCGCCCCCCAATCCTCCCTTCTAACAGATCCAGTGTCAGGTGGAAAGCATGGGCTTCGGAGCCTGACTTTCTGGGTTCACATTGTACATGCTTGGCTTTGGGCGAGTTAACCTAATCTGTCCATGCCTCAGTTCCTGGTAAGGTTGATAGGAGTGTTGAATGAGTCATGGCAATGCCAGTAAACATTGGCTATTAATGATTGCAGACTATGTCACTGTGAACATGACTTACAGAGCCATCCTCCTATTTAAAATTTTGGCTCTTTCCATTTTTCATTATTGTAAAAAAACAAACCACTGAAGCAAACAGCTTTGTACATAAAACTTTGTCTGTATTTGGGTTATTTTCCAGGGACAGATGACCAAGAATGGGATCACTAGGCCAGGAAGTCTGAACATTTTTGGGGGGCTCTTGACACATTATTGCCAGACTGTTTTCAGAAATGATTGTGGGGCACCTGGCTGGCTCAGTTGGTGGAGCGTGTGACTCTTGATCTCGGGGCTGTGGGTTCGAGCTCCACATTGGGTGGAGAGATTACTTAAAAATAAAATCTTGAAGAAAAAAAAATGTTTGTTCCAGTTTACACTCCCACCAATAATGCCTAGCAGTGCCAGTTTCATCTTACCCTCACCAGCATTGGGTATTATCATTTTCTTCTTTCTTTTTGCTGTTTTAAGAAGTGAGGCTTGTTTAATTTTCACTGCCAGTGAAGCAGAGCCGTTTTCTGTGTTGGTTAGCCGCTAACATCCTTTTTGGTCTGCTCGTCTTTACGGAGCACACACAGCCCCTTCTCAGCTCACTTAGGAAGATAGGGTTTAGATACAGGAAATAGGGAACAGAGCGACACCGGCGGACAGTATGGTGCCAGGGTGAGGGAGAGGACTTTCCTCTATCCAGGCCATGACCCTTTAAGTTCCTTCCATCTAGAGCATTCATTCATTCATTTATATAGTCATTCATTCAAACATTTATCAGGTACTGTGCAGGCCTTAAAAGACAAATTACTCAGCCATGACTCTGCCCTGACAGCATGCCTGACAGCAGAGATGGGCAAGAAAACAGACAGAAAATAGGGGGATATGTGCTCTGATGATGGACGTGCAGGGCACAAAGGGAACAGAGGAGAGGCACCCAACACAGCCTAAGGGGGCTGTCCTGGAGGGCTTTCAGGAGGAAAGTGGTCCATAAGCTGGTGCTTGAAGATAATTCGGGGTAGTCAGTGAAGCGGGGAGGACAGAGGGTTCCAGGGAGAGGAGGCAGCCTGACTGAAGGTTAGGAAATAAAAAGGAAGTGAAACCCTGGGGGAGCTCTCTGGCTGGCTGGGCAGAGTGTAAGGCAGGAACAATTGCTGAGGCCAAAGAGGTCAGCGGGGGCCGGATATGTAAGGCCCAAGGAGTCCAGACCTTGTCTGGAGGGAAGTAGGGAGCCATGGAAGGTTCTAAGGAGGTGAATATTATGATCTGCTTTTGTATTTTAGAAATCTCACGGCAACTGCAGTAGGAGAATGGAATGGGGGCTGTTGGTAGAGGCGGGGAAACCAGTGAAGGGACTCTTGCAGTAGCCAACGGGGGCTTGGACCAGGGCAGAGAAGGTGCTGGAGAGGGTTCCCCACCCTCAAACAGCTCCAAAGTGCACAGTGAATGTCCCGTCTGCCAGGTAGCCCTTGCTGACATCCCCTGCCGCCTAGCCGGGTCACACACACCTGGAGGACAGGGGGCCATGTGGGGCCTGGCAAGCCAGCAGTCAGGTGAGTGCCCACCATCAGCTGACCCCGGCCTCCCCCTGCGCCTCCATGCCTCCAAGACCCTCCATCTGCTTCCCCTCCGCCCTTGGGCTCCCAACAATTTTCTGTCTTTTCTTTGAGAATAAATTTATTGTTTTCATTATAAAGGCAACTGAACGGCATTGCAGAGAATCGAAATCAGGGAAACAAAGACAAAAACCAGATCGGTTCCAGCCACCTCTCCCAGCCCTCCCTCTGGGTGTGGTTCCCTGCAGCTTGCTTTTTCTGACGCAGGTTTTTATTTTTGCCTCCTTGTAATCATAGTGTCCGGACAGTTTTGGGTCCTGCTCTCTCCCATTTGCTTCGTTAGGAGCTCATTCCTCTGCGGCCACGGGGTCTGGGCAAATCTCAGTTTTTAATGGCTGTGGGATGGTCTAGGGATGGGGGTGGGACAGAGTTGCTGAACCGCACCCTGCTGTCCTGCGGTGGGCAAGGCTAGTCACATGCCGCCCTGGGCTGCCTGTCGTCTTTGTGTCGGTTTGTCTATACCTAGACCTCCCCAGGTGCCAGGGCCTGCCACCTTCCTCAGTGGCCCTTTGTGGAGCTTACAAGGCTGGCCTCAGGGGCCATCGTCCTGGGAAAGGGTCATGGGCAGATCTGGATTCAAATCTAGACTTGGCTCTGGGACCTCAGGCATGTCACTTAACCGCTCTGGACCTCAGTTTCCTCATGTGTTTCATGGGTCTATTGCAACAGTAAAATAACGGCTGTAAAAATCCCGACACAGTTCCTGGCCCATTGTAAGTGCTCAAGAAAAGGTAGTGGATATTATTGTATTTTTTCATTCTATGGAGAGTTTCTGAGACCATGTTGGGCTAGGTGCTGGAATGGCAAAGGTGAACGGGTGAACGAGCACTAGTTATAACTCTGAGGAGCTCACAGTCTGGCGGGGAAGTCACCCAGGGAAACAGATAGCCACACCAGGGTGTGATCGGCCCTGTAGTGCTGGACCAGATCTGGGTGGCATCCAACTCCATTACTTGCTAGCTGTGTGACTTTGGGTAAGTTGGTCAACCTCTCTGAGCTGTAGTTTCCTCTTCTGTTAATTGCACATCTCATAGGGGCATCGGGAAGACTCAGTGACATGATGCATATGACATACTCAGCACAGTGCCTGGCACGTAGTAGGTGTTGAAATCAATGGTAGCTGCCATTTTATTGTTATTGTTATTGTTATTGTTATTCCCATATACAAGGTGCTGTTGGGAACACAGAGGAAGTGACTGACTGGGGGTTCAGGGAAAGCTCCGTAGAAGAGGGAACACTTGAGCTGGGTCTTGAAGGATGAGTAGAAGTTCACCAAGTGGGAAAGGACACTCTAGGTAAGGAGCCTGTGATTCCAGGTTGCAATCTGTCAATGAGGGGTTTGTTCTTTGGGGGGGATTAAGGCATTGTGTTCATCCCAACTTTCTTGCGTGCCCTCACTGCTTCCCTCTGGGTCTGTCCCAGAGGCCATGTGCACTCACCCTCCTGCGACAGCGCCCACCTGTGACTCCATGTCCTGGTGGCTGTGGGTTCCTGCTCTGTGTCCCCATCTGTCCATGTTTGGGACCACAGGTCTGTGTCTGTCATGTGTGTCCAAGTGTGGTGCTGTCTGCATGTTCCTGTGACCGTGTTCGTCTGCGTGGGGATCCTGAGGTCCTCCTGGGCCACATGGTGGTGGGGGGGCGGTGAGCTGCATGTTTCCTTGGCCTCCAGCTCCCAACAGGATAGCCAGGCCTCCTTGATGACTCCTCCGTGTCCCAGCTCAGCGCCTCCCTGCCTCTCCCCTCCATCCCATTCTCCAGGGGCCTCCTAATGGGTGTCCTCCCACCTCCTCTCCTGGCCTTTCCGGTCCCGTCCACACTCAGCAGTTGGAGGGGTCTTTCTAAACCACAGATTCTGCCCCATCACCCATTGCTTCAAGTCCAGACCCCAGGCTTAGGATTTCATCAGCTTTCTAGGTCAGGCCCTGGCTGCTGGCTCCAGCCTCATGTCCCCTTTCCCAGTCCACACCAGAATGCTTAGCTCCTCGCACGTGTGTTGCTTCTCACCTCTGGGCCTTTGCTCAGGCTGCTGCTTCTGCCAGGAATGCTCCCCACTCCTTTGTTGCCTGGCTCACTCCCACTCATCCTTTAAGACCCAAAGCAGGTATGACATCTACTGGGAAGTCCTCCCTGATCCTTTTTTCCATCCTGGGTCAGGTCCCTGGCTCTGGGTTGCTCATCCCTTACTGGGGGGGGGGAGGGGAGAGGGGAAGGAGCAAGTGATTTGCCCCAGATCACACAGCTGGTGAGTTGGAGCCAAGATTTGAACCCAGGTGCATTGGGCTTTAAACAAAGCAGGCTGTTCCACGGTCCAGGTGAGGTGATCGGTGATCGTAGCTGGGACTCGTGGAGAGGAGTGGGTGGATTTGAGGGAGAATTTGGAAACGCAGTCCTGGGGATTTGGCTGGTGGTGGATCAGAGCTGGGAGGGAAGGGTGGGGACGTGTTGGGGATCCATGTGTGTCTGTGGCAGAAGCGTCTGGGCAGATGGGGATTCCCGCTCACAGTCAGGAATGGCTCCAGGGGGTGCACATCTTAGGGGAAGACCCAGTCCAGTTTAGGCTTGCTGAGTCTGAGCAGCCCACGAGACAGCAAAAGGGAGGTAGCTGGAGGGTGGGCCTGAGCTCCGGGGACAGGCCTGGTCTGGGGGTGGAGACTTGGGGCTTGGCCAGTATTTAAAGTCCTAGAGTGGATGGGCCACCCAGGGATGAGGTGGGTGGGGCAGAGGACCGTGGTCCGTGGGTGGGAGCTCTGGGAGGCACTGAGATAAGGAGCCTGGGGTCATGGCACAGAGCTTCACAGAGGGTCCAGGCAGCATGAGGCCAGGAAGGGTCAGGCTGGAAGGTCCTTGGTGGCATGTAGCAGGTCTCAGGCGAAAGTTCTTTTTTTGCAGAAGCTTGTAGGTCACATGGCTCCTTCCTCCACTTAGCTCGGAGCTCCTGGATGGCAGGGCTCCCCCGTATGCCTCGGGTTCCCCAGCTCTGGGCCCAGTGTGGCCCAGAGGATGTATCCAGAACGACTGGATGGGCGGATGGTGGATGGGCCCGCTGTTTTCAGAAGCAGCGCTAGGTGTTTCATTCATCCATCTCTGCAACTTTCTTCACCTTGCAGAGCAAGAAAAACGAAATGGTGGTGTGCTCGCCCCGCTGTAAGGGTCAGGGCTGTGTGTCTCACGGCTCATAGCAGTCTTGGCTTCTCTCTGGGGCTTGAAGACAGGCTGGCACATCCTACGCAACCAGCAGCATGTCTCTGCCTGTCCCCACAGGACCACGCAGCCGTAGCCCACCTGGCTCCTCCGCCCCTGCCCCCATTCCTGCCCTGCGCTCGGCCCGCAGACTGCTGCTCCCTCTGACCTCAGTCCCCTTGGCTCTGTAGCCTCCTGACGCCTTCTCCCCACCAGCATTCCGACCCAGCCCCTCAGCAGGCATTCAGCGTGCCCCTGCCTGGCTGGTCCCTCACTACCTCCCCTCTCTGGCTCTCTTTTTGGAGCCTGAAGGTAGCGGTTCAGGGACCCGAACCTGCCTCGTGCTTCCAGACATCCATGCCTCTGCTCAAGCCGTGGCCTTCTGCCGTGTCCACCTGTCCTAAACACACACCTGCCCAGTCTCCTGCTTAAAACCCCTCCCTTAAGACAAGGTCTGAGCAGCTTAGCCCAGCCCTCCCCACCCTCCCCACCCTCCCCACTCACCTCTGGCGATGGCCCACCACGTCGTGCAGGTCCCAGGGTTGCACAGGGGCATTCCCACTCCACAGGCTTGCTGGGAGGCTCCCCTGAGATAGTCCTGAAGTGTACCTAGCAGTGGGCCTGACACCCAGTAGGAGCTCGGCAAATGGTCATCCCCTGCCCGCCTTCCCTGCATTTGACACACAGTAGGTGTATGCCAGGGCGGGGGGCACAGACTGAATCATTACATTACTACGCCCAGCCAGAGAAGGACGTGGAGAAATTAAGCAGAGACCGTGGGGATCAGATTAAGTGGCCCAGGGCAGACCCTTCCCTTCTGTGGGCCTGTTTGTCCAGCCAGGGTGAGGGGCTATCCCTGCCCTCCCAGGGGCCTGACAAGCAGCAGAGAGGATGCTCTATCCCAGCCATGGGACCCTAGGCCTGCCACCTTCTTCCCCATACCTCCCTGACCAAGGTGGGCTTTTGGGAAGCCCGAACTTGGCATTGAGCTGAAGAGGAGGAGGTGAGGGTAGCTCCCTGAGAACTCCGAGGAAGAGCTGGTGCAGTAGGCAGTCCTGGGCCAGGGCAGGAATGCGCAGAGCAGCCTGTTTCTCACCCCATTTCACAGATGAGGAGAACTGAGTCTCTGAGAGCCAATGCTCAACATTGCAGTGCGGTGCTCCCTTCGGTCTCCCCGTCCTTGTGGCCTGGAGCAAAGGGCTTCCCTCTGCAAAATGGGGATGAAACTGTTCCCTGCTTCCTGAGGAGAATGCCAGTGGGGACAGAAGAGCTTTGTAAACTGTTGAATTGTGTGTGGTTGTCTTGAATTCTGATTATCATTCCTTCATTTATTCATTCTGTTATGCAACTCATGTTGTTGGTCACCTCTGGGCCTGGCTGCTCGGGATACTGAGATGGGTAAGACAGGTATATCCAGTTCCTGGGTTCCCTTCACGCTTTCCCTGGTGGACAACAGCTGGGAGGGACAGACAGGTCCTAAGGCTGCTGGATGAGTGGGTGCCGGACCCCGGGGCTGTGCCCATTGTATCCTAAGACAGGGCATATTCACGAGCCTGCAGTCAGGATGCCTTGTCTTTCCCCTGAACAGCTAAGGGACCGATCAGCTGGACTTTGGAGTCAGGCAGATTAGAGCGGGAATCTCAGCTCTGCTTACTTGCTATGTGACCTTGACCAAGTCACTCCACCTCTCTGACCTTCAGTTTCAATTATAAAATGGGGATGATGAGAGAACCTGGCTTTGAGTGTCGGTGTGCCTGGCACCAAGTAGGCAGTTGGTAAATGGCAGCCTCCTTACTGTCATTATTGTGTTGAGGTCTTTCTGAGAAAGGGATCTGGAACAGTCAGGGAGAACTCCAGGCAGGAAGTGTTTCTTAGTGTCGGGCTGTGAGGGAAGGGCAGCCTGCTGTCTGTGGGTAGAGGGAGCAGGAGAGCCCTTAGAGGGCAGGGGCTGTCCCAGCCACCCCAGAGGAGGCTACTCTGACCCTCAGCCTGGCCAGGCTCAGATCCCAAGTGGCCGCCAGGCTGGGAATGAAGGGCAAAGGTGGTTTCGTGTAGGGATCCAGCCATTTGCATGTGGTTATTTGCTCAACCAAGTACTGGGGTTTGCAAAGCAAATTCCCCAGTGGAAATGGCTTGAGCAAATCCGATTTCTAGTTTGACTCTGGCACCCAGCCCTGTCATCTTGGACAGGTCCCTCCGCCTCTCTCCAAGCCTCAGTTTCTTCACCTATAAAATGGCATAATAATACCTCCTGTGCCTATTTCTCAAGTAAAGATTACAAGGATAATCTATATCAAAAGTCTTTATTAAGAGTGTTGAGATTAGATTGTATTGAGAGTTTTCTCCTAAAACCCTCTGCCTGCAGTTCCACTAGGGGCTCCTCGGGGTTCTCAGACCAGGAAGAGAGGTCGAAGACACTTCTCTTTGGCCTTGCCTGTCAAAATAAAACAGTTGCACTTAAGCAACAATGCTAGTAGGTATTTAGTAATTTCTGTAAGAGAGAGATCAATAGGATTTTGATGGAGAGCAAGACTATTCGGGATGGTCCCTGTAAGTCACTTCTTGACTTACTCTCTTGGGTTGCAGGAAGACTGGAACCCTCTAGAAGAGTAAAATAGCTCTGGAGGCCCATCCTTGACGCTCCCCTGTTGAATGGCCTTCTAATTGCACAGGCCTGCCATGGAACTTGCTAGAGATGAGGGCCACCAGTAGATCGTCACATAATTCTAATGAAGAGCCCCAAACTGCCCTAGCCGCAGGCCTCCCCAAGTCCCTCCTTAAGCACAGTGTGCTGACACATCCTTGTAGGTAAAATGTTGCATGTGTCCATGCTTGTTTCTTGAAGACAACTTTCTAGAGGTACAATTTCTTGGGTCAAAGGGCAGTAATCATTTGGGTCTCTGTAAACCATTGTGCCAAATTACCCTTCATAGTGGCCGTATCTGATGACCCAGACTGCCCCCTTGTTCTGATGAAGATGCCTGCCCTCAAGGGGGCGGTGGTCAGAAGGGCAGGGATCAGGGTTGGGCAGTTGCCTCTGTTCTGTGGCCATTTACAAAGTTGCCCCAAGACTCTCCAGTGTGTCTCTGGCAGGAGTGGGGGTGGAGTGGGGGTGGGGGGCTTCTATGTGAAATCCATGGTCCATGGGGTGGGTTCTGCAGCCTTGGGCCCTTCTCGGGGATGGGGATTGGTCTGCCCGCATCAGGGTGATGGGGGGACTGAGTGCTAGCTAGCTGGTCTGTCTCTGACCTTTGCCTTCTGGGGCCCGCGGAGGGAGACACTGAATTCCTGACTTTTCAGCCTGGAGGCGCGGTTGCCCGGCCCTGGGAGGGGGCCTGCTCTGCGGTAGGGTGAGGATCCCACGGGGGCGGGGGTTCCAGACACTGGGCCAGACTTGAGTGGGCATGGCTGATGGGAGCTCGCCCCAGGCGGCTGGGGAGGGTCCCTATGACAGTCGCTTTCTCCCCGCAGGATGGCCGAGCCTCGATTTAACAACCCCTACTTCTGGCCCCCTCCTCCCACCATGCCCAGCCAGGTAAGACCGAGCGTCGCCCTCCGGCCGCCCTCTCCGTCTTGGAGCTGCTCCGCTTTGCCCCGGGGCTTGGGCCCGGCCTGCGGGGCTCGGGGCTCCCGGCTTGCGGGGGACCGGCGGCCCGCGGAAGGGGCCGGACGCGGTCCCAGCCCCCTCAGTGCCTCTCCTCTCCCGCCCGCAGCTGGACAACCTGGTCCTGATTAACAAGATCAAGGAGCAGCTGATGGCGGAGAAGATCCGGCCGCCCCACCTGCCGCCCACGTCGGCCTCGTCGCAGCAGCCGCTGCTGGTGCCGCCGGCGCCGGCCGAAAGCAGCCAGGCCGTCATGTCGCTGCCCAAGCTGCAGCAGGTGCCGGGGCTGCACCCGCAGGCCGTGCCGCAGCCCGACGTGGCGCTGCACGCGCGGCCGGCCACCAGCACCGTCACAGGTACGGCGGGCCGGGAGGGGGCGGGGCCGGCGAGGGCGGGGCGGGGCGAAGGGGGCGGGGTCCTCCCAGGACCGCGCCCCCTAAGTCGCCGGGACCTGGGCGGGGCGCTGCCTGCTGGGAGAAGAGCCCTGACCAGACATGTTGGGGGTGAACGAAGGGGCCCCTATGCCGGGAGAGGTTGGCTGTTAACGACCGCAGTGGAGAGGGAGAGGGAACAGCATGTGCAAAGGGTTCTGTGTGTAGAAAGCACTAGTAGGATGGTCCGCCCGGGTGGGAGGGGCAAATGATGATGGTGATGATGGTGATGATGATGGTGATTACACTCATAATATGGCAGCTGGTTCCAGGTGAGCGCCTGTGTGTGGCCAGCAGTGTTCATTTATTACTCCCAGCAGCCCTGTGCGGTGGGCACTGCTAGTTATTAGGTTGAACAGTTGGCAGGTTTTGACTTCGGAAACAACAGTTTCGTGCTCACCCTGACGTCTCCATTTAACAGATGAGGAAACTGAGTCAGAGTTGCACAGGCAGTGTGGTTCCAGAGCCCGGGTGTTAATGACCCTTGGCTCTAGCTGGTCTCTAGAGAGGAAGCAGACCAGATGTGAAGGGCCCTGTGGGCCAGGCTGTGCAGTTTGGACTTTACCCTCGGGCAGTGCGGAGCCATGGAAGATTTTTTTTTTCTAAAGACCTATTTATTTGACAGAGACACAGCGAGAGAGGGAACACAAGCAGGGGGAGTGGGAGAGGGAGAAGCAGGCTTCCCGCCGAGCAGGGAGCCCGATGCGGGGCTCGATCCCAGGACCCTGGGATCATGACCTGAGCCGAAGGCAGACGCTTAACGACGGAACCACCCAGGCGCCCCGCCATGTTAGATTTTTACGTCGGGGAGGGGAATGCTCAGATTTGGGTTGCAAAGCTGGGTCTGGCTGGGAGGTGGGGACTGGCTTGCTGGGAGAGAGAAGGAGGCAGGGAGATCTGTAGGAGAGAGTGGTGGCCTGGATCAGGCAGTGGCCGTGGGGACTGAGAGAAGGGGACAGATCTGAGACTTGTTGAGGGGAATGGACAGGGCTTGGTGCTGGGCTGGCTGCAGGGGTGAAGAGGGAGAAGAACTGAGCGAACAGCCCAGGCACTGCCATGGAAGTGGAATCATAGGAGGAAACGCAGGGTAGGGAAAGAGGTGAGCTCAGTCTTGGGTAGGTTGAGACTGGGGTGTCGGGGACATCCTGAGGTGGTGTCATGTGGCCGGGGCTGCCTGGTGTCTACCTCAGAACCTGGTGGGCAGGCTCTCTCTGGAGGCCACTGCAGCCGAGCCTTTGTTCCTCCCCTGGCTCCACCCCTGCCTCCAGCTGGGCGCCTCTGCCTCTCTCCTCATTCCCCCATTCTCTCAGAGACGCCCAGGAATTATGGGACCCAGTGAGCCTCTGCAAGGCCCCAGCCCCACTCTGCACATCCCCCCTTATTATGATTTTATTAAATTTATTTTTTTCATTATAGAAGTAATATTAAAAAAGTAATATAAGCATATTAAGGGAAATTTGGAAAAAAGAGAAACTCAGGGAGAAAAACCCACTCATAATCCCCAGCTCCTAACCCAGCAGCTTAGGAGAGCCTTTTGGTTCATTTCCTTCCTTTTCCATCTTCTTTGTTTATTTTTTAATACGCGTGTGTGTTTTGCTGAGCTTGTCGTGGGGCTGTACCCATGACTTCACCTCACTTTTCCTACCCACCATTCTATCATAAGCATATTTAATGCTTTTTTTAATTATAAGGGTAATTCATAGTCCTTATAGAAAATGTAGAAATTGCAGACAAGCTGAAAAGTGAAAAAATTAGCCCTAGTCCTACAACTGTTAGCATTTTCATGTTTTCTCTTTAATTTATTTTGTTTTATCCTTTAATCACAGATATAAAAAAAATGGATGAATTCACCAGGTAAAAAATTCAAATAACATAGAAGCAGATAGACAAAGTATGAAAATCTCCTTTTACCAGAAAATTCTTCGTCCCTAGAGCATACCACAGTTTATACACAAATTTAATTGGGTGTGTCTTCTCAGATCTATTTCTGTGCATTAACACACACACATCTGTATTGTCTATTACCTACACAGGAAGCTTAGATGTGTGTTTTTTTTTTTAATAGTTGGGTTCATACTGTCTACGATTTGCTTTTTCACCTGACGACAGCACATTTGGGGGTTCTCCACCACTGCATAGCATCTTTCTTGTTTTCATGCCTGCTCAGTCCTTCATAGTGAGGATGGGCTACATCTCTTTACACAGTCCCTGCTGAGGACAAATGGGTTGTGTCCGGTCTGGTCATATAGAAGGTCCTCATGTGCTCGTGTGCAAATATTTTTTTATAGACAATTTCTAGAAGTCACATTGCTTCATCAGAAGTTATGTATATTTGGGGCGCCTGGGTGGCTCAGATGATTAAGCGTCTTCCTTTAGCTCAGGTCCTGATTCCAGGGTCCTGGGACTGAACCCCACATCGGGCTCCCAGCTCAGCAGGGAGTCTGCTTTCTCCTTCTGCCTCTCTCCCCTGCTCATGTTCTGTCTCTCAAATGAATAAATAAAATCATAAAGAAAAAGAAGTTATGTATATTTGACATATTAATGGCTTCTGCCAATCAGCCCTCCATTGAGGGTGAAAATGCATACTCTGACCAGCAGTGGCTGACACGAACACTTGTCCATCTCTGGAGCTTACCTTTCTCAATGGTAGATTTTTGGTTTCTTTTTAAAAGAAGCATCCTTTTAGTAACATGAAAGATACCATTTTCATCTTTTTGTCTGCTTCACCTGATACTGTAAATGTTTCTAGTTCCCTCGTTTTTAAAAGAATGACTTTTATTACAACAGTTTATTTTTTTTCCTTTTCCCTTTTTTTTTTAAGATTTTATCTATTTATTTGACAGAGAGAGACACAGCGAGAGAGGGAACACAAGCAAGGGGAGTGGGAGAGGGAGAAGCAGGCTTCCCGCAGAGCAGGGAGCCCAATGTGGGGCTTGATCACGGGACCCTGAGATCATGACCTGAGCCGAAGGCAGACGCTTAACCGACTGAGCCACCCAGGCGCTCCTCCTTTTCCCTTTTTTAAAAGCTTTTATTTTTTTTTTAAGTAATCTCAACACCCAAGTGGGGCTAGAACCCACCACCCTGAGATCAAGAGTCAAACACTTGACTGAGTCAAACCTCTGACTGAGCCAGCCAGGCGCCCCTGTATTACAGAAGTTTTTTAAAAAGTTCATTGTCAAAGAATCAAAGTACAGTTAGGCCAAAATACTTAAAAAAAATTATTCCCAGTTGTGCTATCCATATCACTTTTGGTACATCTCCTTCTCCTACTTACTTTGTCTGTGCATACATATGCTGGTTTTGTTTGTTTGTTTCGTGTGTGTGTGTTTTGTTTTACAAACATAATTTTTTAATGGGCAGTTAATGTTCAGTGGAGAAGACTGATCACAACATATCGACCCCTTCCCTAATGTTGCATATTTCAGTTCCTCTAATTTTTTGCTATTGCAAATAACACAGTAGTGAACATCTTTGTGCTTTTTTCCTGTGGTTTAAAATATTTCCAAAGTGCCTCTGTTACCAACCCAATTTAGTCCTTCAGTGTGTCAGGCCTCTTACACATACACAGACTCTCATGTAGTCACCCCTGGGTAATTTATGAAGGGAAGAGGAGGCTTGGAAAGGCCTCTGCAGCTGCCTCCCCCGCCCTGTGTCTTCTGCAGGTCTCGGGCTCTCTTCCCGGACCCCGGCTGTGAGCACGTCCGAGTCGAGCGCGGGCACGGGTACCAGCACCCCGTCCACACCCACCACCACCAGCCAGAGCCGCCTCATCGCCTCGTCCCCCACCCTCATCTCAGGGATCACCAGCCCCCCCCTCCTGGACTCCATCAAGACAATCCAGGGCCACGGCCTCCTTGGCCCCCCCAAGTCCGAGCGTGGCCGCAAAAAGATCAAGGCGGAGAACCCAGGGGGGCCACCTGTCCTCGTAGTCCCCTACCCCATCCTGGCCTCGGGCGAGACTGCCAAGGAGGGCAAGACATACAGGTGGGGGTCTTGGCGGAAAGGGGGTCCACAAGGGCTTGGGCCAGAGCCGCACCAAGGGCTGCCCTAGGAGCCCAACAGCTGGGGCTGGAAAGAGGGGCCCCAGGGGCTCAGGGTGCGTGCCAGGTCCCGAGGAGCGGGGTTCTCCTGACAAGCCCCACCCGCAGCCCCTTCGCAGGTGGGCTAGGGCTGTCCTCCCATGCTTATGCAGGGCTGCTGGGGGGCCCAGCTCACCATAGCCTGGAGCCATGGGAGTCCTTTCCTCCTCCCTTCAAGCAGTATTCTCAGCCCTCAAGTGTGGATCATCCAGAGAGCGCTCAGAAAATGCCAATCCCAGGACCATACCTCCAGAAATTCTGATTTACTTTATTAGGCGGGGGACATGCAGAGGGCCAGTGATCCCTTTTTGAAAGCTCCCCAGATGCTTCTGACGTGTAGCTGGCAGGAGAACTTCTTATTCCGAGTGTTGTAGGCTGTGGCCCTGGGCACACGTCCCCAGGGTTGCCAGGCCCCTCTCCCCTGGGAAGTGTAAAGCGCTCCCCTGCTTCTGTGAATGGAGCCCCCGGTGGAAGAGCCTTGGCCTCCAGATTGGAGGGTGTCGGGCTGGGAGCCTGCCCCCCGGCCTTCCCCGGTGGGCCTGTGCCCCCCCCCCGGGGCTCCTCACAAGAAAGCTCTATGCTGGGCGCAGGGTCTGTGCGGTGCGGGAGGTCCCCTGCGCTTCCGGGCAGAGGGTGGGGGTCTTCCCAGGTGTGAACGTGCCTCATGCCCCACAGGTGTAAGGTGTGCCCGCTGACCTTTTTCACCAAGTCTGAGATGCAGATCCACTCCAAGTCCCACACCGAGGCCAAGCCCCACAAGTGCCCGCACTGCTCCAAGTCCTTTGCCAATGCCTCCTACCTGGCCCAGCACCTGCGCATCCACCTGGGCGTCAAGCCCTACCACTGCTCCTACTGTGATAAGTCCTTCCGACAGCTCTCCCACCTCCAGCAGCACACCAGGTGAGTGGCCTGCCTGGGGCTGCCCCCCGGCAGCTGGTCTCAGCTTGGCACCTGCGCTGGCGCATGGACCTGGTATGAGCAGGTGCCCACTGCCCTGACGGTCAAGACCAAACTCCTTTACTTGGCATTTGAGGCCTTTGATGGTGTGACCTTTGTAGACCTCACAGGCCTCTGCTGTCGCTACCGTGCCGCCCGTCCCACCGTTTCTCATCTGCCGTATCCTTTACCTGAAACACCCTCTCCCTTCTTTATCCTGTTTCTCTGGCCCTCTCCTAGCCATCTCTCCTTTTAGCTTCCTCCGGGAAGTCCTCCTGGGGCTCCACTAGGCCCCGTGCATGCCCATCAGAGCAATGGCAGGCTGTCTTGTATGTGTCACATTCTTTGTCCACCACCCCAAATATATTGGGGGCTCTTGAAAGCCAGGGCTTGGTCCCCTCCAGACCCATATCCCCAGCGTGTGGCCCGTAATAAGCATCTGGGTGTTTGTGGAATATTTGTGGAATAAGTCAAACTATCTTTTATAGGGCATACAATTCACATTTAACAAATATTTACAGAGCCTCTGCTCTAAGACAGGCATGGTTCTAGGTGCTGGGAACACAGCAGGTGAACAAAACAGACAAAAATCCCTGTCCTCATAGGCATATGATCTAGTGGAGTATGTGAAAGATTCAGAAATATAAATGCTTTAAGGAAAGACAGGTTTTTGCAAGGGAGTACGGACATCAGAAAGGCTGACTCGCCACTGCAAATAAAAATACCGTAGGTATTTAAAGAAACAAACCAAAGGTTACCAAGATTGCAGTTCATCTCTTCAGAGAGAAACACAGCAGTTTTCCCCCCACCAACAATCATGTCTGTGAGCGCTGCTGTGTGTTGGCATATCAGCTTTGTGAAGGTCAAGGATACCGTTGTTTTTGCTGTGGAGCTTGTAACTTGCCAGAAGCGATCACGTTTTCTCTCTTTGGGGGACTGCTGTGAGACAGACCCTAGTTTTTCCTTTTAGGGTTTTTAAAAATTGTTGTTACTGTTGTGATTTATTTGGATATGCCCATTGTCTTGGTAGGCTTTATCACGGGGCGCGGAATGCCTTGTTTGTCTAGTTCTTGGACTCGGAGGCAGAATGCGCAGGTTTGATTGTAAGAGAGCAATGGCAGAGTGCGAGCAGGACAGGGCCTCTGTCCGTTCCCTCGGTCCTGTGCCTCCTGAGGCATAAGGATTGGACCATAGCATTTTGTTCCAGCAATTTTCTGATGTTTGTCATTGCTTTGATTTTTTTTTTTTTTTTTTAAGTTTGGCCAGCTTTCTGGACACAGGCCTATGTAACGAGGTGATGATTAATAAACAAAGTCTTCCTGGTTGTATGGCTATTAAAATCAGAGCACATGATGCTAAGGCTTCAGAGCTAACTTCTATCAGGAGACTTCACGGAACCCCTGGGTCATCATTTTAATCTGTGTGTGTGAAAAAATTTCTTAGGATATTATCTAAGACCAGAAACCTCGAACCATGCAGGTCAGTCTTGTCAGGTGGTACCTACATATCCTGTAATGGGAAGGGTGCCTTCTTTTTGCAGAATCCCCGTTTGTCAGCGTTTCAGACTGGCAGGAGTAACGTTTTCTGTAACCTTAAAGGCTGGGAATCCACAAGCCAGGGAGCAGATCCTGCGCAGCTTCCAACGGAGGCCACATCCCACGTGGGAAGGATGGTCCGTGTGTTTCACTGTCAGGCTTGTCATGCCTAATTAAATGAAATTTGTCTTTTAAATGTGACATTTCTGGCATGGTCATGGTTACAAATTTGATTTACCCAATTATACCCTGTTGGGAAGGAGGACAGATTCTTACTGACCCTATTTACCAACCTAACGGCCATAAGAGAAGATGACCCCAGGGAAGGCACTGTGAATATTTGTCGGCAATTGTTCTGAGCAGTTTTGTAGGCGGGGCCAGTAACATACTGTTTTCAACAGAACTGTTATTTTATTATTTTTTTTAAGATGTATTTATTTTAGAGAGAGGGAGAGAGTGGGGAGCAGGTGGGGGAGGGAGGGGCAGAGGGAGAGAGAGAGCATCCTCAAGCAGAGAAGCAGACTCGTCGCTGAGTGCACAGCCTGACCTGGGGCCCACGACCCCAAAGTCATGACCTGAGCCGAAATCAAGAGTCGGACGTTCAACCGACTGAGCCACCCAGGTGCCCCAATAGAACTATTATTTTAAAATTTCCTTGATAATTCATGAGTTTATATCTATGTTAAATTTTATAGTTTCCCTCCTCCCCGAGAATTCTGAAGGGTTAGTTGGAAAGGCACCATTTAAGGAATATTTTATTCCTGGTTCAAATATAGCCTCCCAAATTGAGGATTAGAGGTGTAGATCAAAGAAGAAAAAGGTCTTCTCATATCCCCTTTAGGAAATAGAAATGAACCCCACTTAAATCACTTTCATTCGGTTCGAGGTCCTAATACCTGTTCTGCTGACCTTGGGTAGTTCGTCCGGTCTGCCAAGTTGGCTGCTTCTGGACTGCAGACTCTCTCGGATCCTGCCTTGGCCTCAGGCAGTGTCTGGTCAAGGTGATGGTATCCGGGTGGAGGCCGCGTGCATTCATCTATTCCCTGGAGTCTGGAGAGCCAAATGCACGTGTTACAGTCCTCTACTGAGGCCATAATCTCTTGATGTCTTCTTTGGAAGACTGGACTTCTGACCTGAAGCAGAGGCCTTTAGGCAGGTGGGACAGGAAGTGTTGGTAAGCCTGAATGACTGGTCCATTTATCGTAACAATAAACATTTATTGTAACAATCAACAATGTCAGAATGGAGGAGAATGGAGTCTTCCTTAAAATAGAATGCATGATCAATTTTACAGATTAAGAATGTATTTTAGGCAGCAAGGGCATTGACCCATCTTCGGGCTCTTTATCTCCTAAAGCACGTGTTAGGACTGTCACTAATTGATAAGTATAGTTAAATGTAGAAAAAACTTCTCTCTTTTTTTTTAAAGATTTTATTTATTTATTTGACAGAGAAAGACACAGTGAGAGAGGGAACACAAACAGGGAGTGGGAGAGGGAGAAGCAGACTCCCTGCCGAGCAGGGAGCCCGATGCGGGACTCGATCCAGGAACTCCAGGATCATGACCTGAGCTGAAGGCAGTCGCTTAACCAACTGAGCCACCCAGGCGCCCTAGAAAAAACTTCTCTAAGGACATTTCTTTTGATTTTTATTGTACCTGAAAATAAATTACTGGTTTTTTGTCTCCATTTAAAAAAAGTGCACAAATTGGGACGCCTGGATGGCTCAGTCTTTTAAGCGTCTGCCTTCCGCTCAGGTCATGATCCAAGGGTCCTGGGATCGAGTCCCGCATCAGGCTCCTTGCTCAGCGGGGAGCCTGCTTCTCCCTCTTCTTCTGTCCCTCCCCCCTACTTGTGCTCTCTCTCTGACAAATAAATGAAAGATTTTTTTAACAAAGTACACAAATATATATATTTATATTATATAGGATATATAATTCTATATGATATACTGTATATTTGTATAAATTACATATAATCAGATATATAAAATAAATATAAATATATAAGACATTTTCTGTATATATGTGTACACATAAAATATAAAATTAATACAGGGAGATCGAGCGTCTCTTCTTTTTTTTTTTTTAGGAGAGGGGCAGAGGGAGAGGAAGAGAGAAAATCCCAAACAGACTCCGCACCCAGCACGGAGCCTGACACGAGGCCTGACACGGGGCTCGATCTCACAACCTTGAGATCATGACCTGAGCCAAAGTCAAGAGTTGGACGCTGGGCGCCTGGGTGGCTCAGTTGGTTAAGCGACTGCCTTCGGCTCAGGTCATGATCCTGGAGTCCCAGGATCGAGTCCCGCATCGGGCTCCCTGCTCGGCAGGGGGTCTGCTTCTGCCTCTGACCCTCCCCCCTCTCATGTGCTCTCTCTCTCTCATTCTCTCTGTCTCAAATAAATAAATAAAATCTTTAAAAAAAAAAAAAAAAAAAAAAGAGTTGGACGCTTAACTGACTGAGCTACCCAGGCGCTCCTGAGTGTCTCTTCTTTTGATTTGCCAGCGTTCTTACACTTGCATCTTCATAGAACAACTCTCGCTCTAATGTTTGCTAATTCGAAATACAGAAAACACAAAAGGCTCGCTCATTCGGAGCACCACTCTTCTTACAAAGCAAAGAAGGAAATCTTTGGTGTTGCCTGGTGGCCGTCTAGAAAGGCCAAGAGCGTTTGGGTGTAAAAGATACTTTGATACTTTGGGGCCTGGATTTGAGAAGGCTGAGGGCACTAAGTGGACAGCCTAGGCAAGGTCTGAACATCGGTCTAATAGAAAATAAACACCGTAGCAAGTAGTGATAAGTATGAAGAATCATAGTTTTGGGGCACCTGGATGGCTCAGTCGGTTAAGCGTTTGCCTTTGGCTCAGGTCATGATCTCAGGGTCCTGGGATCGAGCCCTCTGTTGGGTTCCTCGCTGGGGAGCCTGATTCTCCCTCTCCCTCTGCCCCTCCCCCTGCTTGTGCTCTCTCTTGTGCTCTCTCTCTCATGAATAAATAAAATCTTAAGAAAAAAGAATCCCTAGCTTTTTTCAGAAGTAAACTTTTGTTTTAAAATATTAATCAAGACCATGACCAAAACAGCAACAAAAAATTAACCGGCCCGTGAAGGAGGATTATTTCCTGATCCAGGGATTGCTCTCTATTCCTGAAGACACACATTTTTTTCCTCTTGAGTGATTTGAGTGCATAATGGTGGGAAACGAAACAAGCAACATAAGAGGGTCCTGTTAACATTAGAGACAAATGATTAGTCAGTAGACAGTGGCACCTATAATTAAACCAATGTGTCCTAACCCAGTGACAAAGAGGTGGATGTCCCCCATGCCCAGAAGTCCTAGAATCTGTTAGACAAACAAAAAAAGCCAAATGCAAAGAAGCAACCAGATTCCAGGTTCCTTGTTTTCTCCCATTCCACGGAGACTCCTTCCTGCTTTTTGCTCCTTCACAGAGAACCAGTCAGGGCATCTAATCAAATCTGTCATTCAGGGGTGACTGCCAGTAATGACTGGAATAAAAGATCATGTCCAAGGCTGACCCAGCCCTGGTCACGTAATAGAAATGGACTTAGAAACAGGTTGAGCAAGATTACTCTGATTGTTGAGAAAGATGGGAGCATTTTGGGGGTAATGTGGTTCCTGGGAGCTGGAGCATTCTGGTGGGACCTCCTTCTGTGAAGAGAAGACACAGCAAGTAAAGAAAAGCAGGAGTCCGATGTGGGGCTCTATCCCAGGACCCTTCTCCTGCGCCTCAGAGGGAGGAAGGGGCTGTGGCCGTGAGGCTGTGGGAGAAGCTTGGCTGGGCGGGGGTGCCTGGCACTGCAGAGCGAGTGTCTGGGGCCCCAGGTGGGGCTGGGGCCGTCCAGGGGCCCCGATTTCAGTTCGGCTTCCCTGTGCCGCAGCTCGGCTTCCCTGTGTCGCCTGGGGTCCGTGGTGAGCTCCCCTTCACCGCACTTGTGGGAGCCAGGGCTGGGTGCTCCCCTACCGAGAAGATGCTCTGCAAGGACGGGACTCTGATGCGGGAATTGAGGACCTGGTCCTGACTTGCAAGTCAGGGACCGAAGAGCTTTGGGGCTCAGTGTCACTGGGAGCATGCAGCCTGGCCCCCCGTTCACCCAGCTGGCACTCGCCGGTGCCCCTTTGGAGCCAGCCCAGTGCTGGGGGGCACACACGAGGGCGGATCAGTGGCCAGAGGCAGGCTCTGGCCCAGAAGCACCCCACTGTGACCTGGGAGGCTGGTGGGTGTGGAAACTTCCACGAAAGAGTGAAGTAGGTGGGGGAGGTGGGGGAGGACCATCGGGGTCGGGTATTGAGGGGTCCGTAGCCCTCCCTAGAGATGGGGCAACAGCATGAGCAAAGGCTCGGAGGCCTCCTGGGGGATGCATGCACATTGCGGGGAAGTTGGAAGGATGCCATGCTGGGGAGAGCAGTGGTGGAGGGGGAGGCTTTAGAAACCAAGGCCTTAAATGCCGGGGCATGGGGTTTGGAAAAGGGAGAGACTATGGAGGTTGCCAGGCAGGGCCACGACAAGGTCGGATCCCCACACTGCTGCAGTGGTGGATGGAGGCCAGGGAGGAGGCCAGGCAGCCATGACACTTGGACCGGAGGAGGCCGGAGGGCAGTTTCCCTTTCAAGAGGGCTTGGCTGGGTCCCTGGGGAAGAACCTAAAGTCCTTTGGAAGGTGCTCGGTCAGTCGGTCAATAAATGTTCGTGCGGTATGGATGGCATTGGTTATGTTGAGCACACTACTGTTGACAGTGACTGACCTGAGAGAAAGAACTCGCTTTCCTTCATTCAGTCCATGACTCCCTATGTCCATGACCCGTCTTTGAGGCTGACACCCAGAATTGTGCGGGTAGAATATGGGTTCTCAACACCAGGCCAGCCCAGCTCCACTTGGCAGGTCTCTGTGCAGCCTGTGGGTGGGGCTGGCCTTGCACCTGAGCCTGGGCCCTGTGCTTGCCCTCGGATCCCTGTCTCGTAGAGGAAACAGGAGGGGCAGCCTCCCCTGCCGAGGGTGCAGCGGGGGCACGGGCGTGGCGGGCAGGATCGTCAGTCAGACGAGGTTGCCTGATGAGAAATGGATCTCCAACCAGGATGGAGGGTGCATAGGAGCGGCGAGGGGAGGCCAGAGCACGTGGTGAAGGGCCTTGAGTGACACACTAAGGAATCCGGACCCTATCCGTGTTCATAGCGGGCAGCCAACGTCTTGTCGATGGCAGGGACGGTTCTTTATTCCAGCCTATCTGGCACGAGGCCTGCTGCGACAGGGACCTTAGTTTGTTTGATGAGCGGGTTGACGGGCAGAGCAGCCCAGTCAGCGAGGTGGCCTGGGGCATTAGGGGAGGGAACCTACACCGAGCGGCCAGGGCCGGATTCTCCCTCCACCTGATGCTCGGCGGCAAAGGAGACAAACAAGGTTCAGGCCAGCCCACATTCTGCTGCCCACCTGCTCGGCAGAGAGGGTTTGCCAGACAGGTGGCGGGAGACAAGTGCAGGCTGATAGTGGGAGGCTCGCGTGGAGGACGGGGCTCCCACACGTGTGCCAGGCACCTCGTCTGGGCCCAGCTCCGTCCTCACCTGGCCTGTCAGACAAGCATGAGCAGCGCCACAGACTTGAACAGAAAATACAGCCAGCAGCGTCACTCTGGAGTCAGCCTCCCAGGGAGGCTGGCCCTGACCACCCTGTTTAAAATTGCCACACACACACACACACACACACACACACACACATACGGGGCTTTCATGCTCCCCCCACCTTATTTATTTTCTTCTCACAGCACTTATTACATTCTACGTGGGATTTACTTACTTCGTTCATGTTTGTTGTTTGTTTCCACGAGGCAGTGGTTTTTGTCTGTTTTGTTCACTCCAAGTACCGAGCGTGGTGCCTGGCACATGGGTGCCCCACGTAATAAACATTGCAGGTGTTTCCTGAGCACTGACTTTGTGCCAACACTCAGCAAAGCCTCTGAGCATATTTTTATGCCCATTTTGCAGATGAGCAAACTGAGGCTTGGTGGTTTTTTCCCCCCAGGTCACCAAGCTAGTAGAAGGTGGAGCCAGGATGAGAACCCAGGAATGGGAGGGGGCAGAGGGGCTGAACTGCAGGGCCTCCCTGTCCTGCATTCTCTCAGTAGCTGGGGTGACCAGGTTACCATCCTAGACATGTCTCTGATGTGGGGACAGGGCAGGAGACAGAAACTGGGTGCCAATTAGAGAGAGAGGCTTCCTTCTGAGGGAAAGAGGCAAGGTGGACAGGGAAGTTCCTGGCAAAGTGGTGGATCTGTGTTCTTTTCAACGGTGGTCTGCGGGTGGGTTTTGAAGAAGAGAGGGACAGAAAGCAATCTGAGCAAGCCCCTGCTGTTTAGCTGGAGGTTTGGGCCAGGTCTCTGAGTGGATGCTGGTGGTGGGTTGGGTTCAGCAGGGACCTGTGGGGAGCAGGAGGACTCTGGTCACAGACTGGCAGACTGGGAGACCAGAGGAGGAAGGAGAAGAAGAAGCTCTTGCCAGGTGCTCTCTGGAGAGTGTGGGGAGTGGAGACTGGGAGGCTTGGGAGCTGGATATATGGTGCAGGCCATCCAAGGCCTTGGGGGCTGGAGCTGGCCGGGTTGTCTGTCAGGGACTCCACCTCACTGGGCTGCCCATTGCAGAATCCACACAGGCGACAGACCCTACAAGTGCCCACATCCTGGCTGCGAAAAGGCTTTCACTCAGCTCTCCAACCTTCAGGTGAGTGCCAGCCTGCCTCTTGGCTGCCTCTTGCCTGCCCCCCTGCAGAGGGAGCAGAAGGGGGTGGGGTGGGGCTGGGGGAGCTCCACCTGGCTCCTCACTCCCTGCTGTGCTCCCCACAGTCTCACCAGCGCCAGCACAACAAGGACAAGCCCTACAAGTGTCCCAACTGCTACCGGGCCTACTCGGACTCCGCCTCCCTGCAGATCCACCTCTCGGCCCACGCCATCAAGCACGCCAAGGCCTACTGCTGCAGCATGTGCGGGCGGGCCTACACCTCGGTGAGTGCCTGGGGCCCCTGGGGTCCCTGCGGAGCCTCTTCCTCTCCCTGGGCCTCAGCCTTCTCCTCATCAGATCTGTATTGATTCTCCCCATTCTCCAGACAAGGAAACTGAGGCCCAGAGAGGGGAAGTGACCCCGCAAGATCACGATGAGTGGCTGGCTGGGCCAGCGCTTCGGCTTCCCAGTTCTGTTTTTGGCTGCCCTGGGCCAAGTTCCCAGCCTCCTGGTGGCCTTTAGCCTGGCTTTCCCAGGCGTGGTTTCCTCCAGGCCCTGGAACACTCAAGGCAGTGGTGGGGGGCCAGGCATTCTGCTCTCCAGAGCCAGGGAGGGGAGGGGCCTCTCCACTGGGGAAGCTGCAACCCCCATCCTGGCCACAAGGGGGCACAGCGACTCGGCCCAGAGCTGCCTCACCCCAGGAAAGGCCTGCACAGTAAGTCATCTCATCCAGCCCCGTCCTGGGTGGGAATTTTCCTGCAGCAGAATCCTTTCAGCACCCACAAGAGGGAGCCCAGCAAGTCACTTAGGTGTGTGTGTTCAGTTAATGAAATATCCTGGTTAACAGAGCCCCAGGTAAACCCCCCCCTCAAAAAAATCACTGAGCCTCAATTTCCCTATCTGTAAAACGGACGAGGTAACTGTTCTTACCTCACAGGGCTGTTGGCCGGCCCAGTCAGTGCCTAATAAATGTCCGCCAATTCACCGTTGTTTATTCGCTCAGTGTTTACTGAACATTTGTGCCAGGCGCTTGGGCATCAGGATGAATCCAAGACACATTCTTTGCCCCCAGGGAGGTTGGAGTCTACTGCTGGAGACAGATATTAAACAAGTAACCACCAAATAAACATGGAATGACAAATAGTGGTAATTGCTCTCAGGAGGTTTGTCAGCCTTAGGGCATGCTAACATGTGGGCAGGGTACCTTCGCCGGGGGGCTGTCCCGGTGCCTTATAGGATGTTAGCAACGTCCTTGGCCTCTGCTCACTAGCAGCCCCCTCCCTGAGCTCTGGCAACCCAAGATGTTTCCAGATGTTGCCAAATGTCCTGGGGCCAGGGTGGAGCCGCCTCTGACTGAGAACCACTGGGCTGAAGGACCATAGGTTGATAAAGCAGCGGGGAGGCTGGAATGGATTTGGGAAGGGGACGCAGGTCTGGGTAGGCTGACTGAGGGGGTAACAACATTTCAATGGAGCCTTGAAGGGTAAGGAGAGTGAGACCCTTCCAAGCAGGGGAACGGTGAGTGCAAACACCCTGAGGTGGAACAAACATGGCGCGGTCCAGGAACTGAAGGAAAATTAGGTCACACGGGGCTGTGAGGCCCTGTTAGGGAGTTTGGATACGTGCCAGGTGGAGCGGGAAGCCACTGGGGGGAAGCCATTGTCTGCGAGGGTATTTTGAAAGGTCACTGACTGGAGGGGGCACACGTTGGGTGGTCAGCGGTATGTCAGGTGCCAGCCAGGCCTACAGTTTGCTGGGTGCTGGGTTCGTCACACTGCTCCTTCCCTGGAGTTTGAAGGGCAGAGGAGAAGTGAAAGACAGAGGGCAGAACCTGCAGGGAATGGGTCCCAAGGGGCGAGGTGGGGCGCCACAGAGACCTAGGAGCCCCACTTAGCTGGCTGACCTTCGGCTCGTGTTGGCCTCAAGTTCTCGACATCCGCCTCCTCACGCCTGCTCCTGGGGGAGGGGCCCCCGGCATTTACTGGCTATAGTTCTAGATGGAGTCTGTCTGAACTCTGGGGGCAGGGAGTGTCCCTGCGGCCCCATCCTGAACGCGGCCTCAACTGGACTCTCTAGAACAAGAATAGTTACCTTTATTTTGAATTTATTTTTGGCTTTAATTAAAGTAAGTTGACGTATTTTTTTTTTTTTTAAGTAGGCTCTGTGCCCAGTGTGGGGCTTGAGCTTATGACCCTGAGATCAAGAGTCACAGGCTTCACTGACTGAGCCAGCCAGGCCCCCCAACATACCTTTTATTTAAAAAACAAAAAACAAAAAACAGTTAAATGGATTGAATTTTAAACTACTTTAACCAACTGTAGAATAGTGAACCTTCATGTTCCCATTAGCCCCCAGAACCGTCAACCAATCTTGCCTCATCCATATCCCTATTTTTTGAAGTAAAATAGACATTATATTGTTTCATCTGAAAATGTTCACTGTGTCTCTAAACACAAGGACTCCTCTTTCTGAACATACCCACAATATCTTTACAGTTCACCATAAGTCCTTGATATCATCAAATACCCAGTCAGTGTTCACGTTTT